TAAAATCATGCGGCCAGAGCACTCAGAGCATCCAGAGCTTACTGGGAAACAAGTGGGAAACAAATGGGACACAAGTATAAAATCATGCGGCCAGAGCACTCAGAGCGTCCAGAGCTTTGTTTTTCCCTCGGAGGCGACCTGTCGTACATAGCGGCGGGCACTCTATGTACAGCCGGGCATTGCCGGCTCACGGCCGCAGGGGGAGACGACTACGCGCGGGGCCCCCGGCGAGCGCCAGGATCTCCCCGAGGGGGAGTTCGGCGGGGCCAGTGGGGCAGGGCGGCGCGCGCCAGTCGTCCCCCAACAGCGTCGAGCACAAGGCGCGCTGGAGGGCGACGCCAAGAAGGCCCCACCAGCGGCGGCTCCACCCGGCAGCGGCAGCGGTGCGGAGAGCGGGGGGGGCGCGCCGGGCGCAAAGTCGGACGAGGCGGCGCACGAAGGTCAAAGACTCCGCGTTCCAGCGGCCACCGACCTCGCAGGCAAGGACGAGGAGCTGCTGCGGGCCTCCAGCTGCAAGCTCGGGGTACCGACGGCGTTTGCGCCGCTCAGCCCGGCGGAGCGCGACACCATCAGCGTCAGCGGCCCCAGGGAGGGGGGCACCGTCGCGCGTCAGGGCGGAGACGAGGGTGGCATCGCAGCACCACGTTTCCCCATGTGGCGAGGCGCTATGCACGATCAGGTCGAGTCGGCGGCGGTCATCGGGGGTGATGTGGGGCGCGTTGGTGCGTGCAGAGACAAGTGGGAGACAAGTGGGAGACAAATTTGGGAGACAAGTGTGAAATCATGCGGCCAAGCACTCAGAGCGTCCAGAGCTTACTGGGAGACAAGTGGGAGACAAATGGGAGACAAGCCTGAAATCATGCGGCCAGAGCACTGAGAGCATCGAGAGCTTACTGGGAGACAACTGGGAGACAAGTGGGAGACAAATGGGAGACAAGTATAAAATCATACGGCCAGAGCACTGAGAGCATCCAGAGCTTACTGGGAGACAAGTGGGACAAGTGGGAGACAAGGGTGAAATCATGCCGCCAGGAACACAAGCCCGGAGACAAACTCAAAATCATCCGGCCCGAGCATGCACCCCTTTAAAAGGAGTAAGAACCCCTCACAGGTAAACCTGTTTGGGGAAAAAGGGATGTCAAGGAGTACTCAGCTACAAAGCTTGGAAGTCCCTGATGCAAGGTAGTACTGCGCTCACATCAACCTGAGCATACCTGAAAAGAGTTGGCGATGCATTTCGGCCTGCACATTTGCTGGTGCTTCGGCAAACAGGCAAACATTTGCATCAACTGTTGTAGGTTTTGTAGTGCTGAAATGGCCATTGGTTCTGACTCTGCACTGCTAGGCGCACAATGGTGCACAAGGCCACGGAATCTGGCAAACAAACAACGTGCGGCTCAACCTCCGTGACTCACGTCGTTTAGAGGGCACAATCTCTCAAGCGGATGTTGTTGTCAGCTTGACGTCACGGTTACACACCTATCCTGATTTAGGTCGGCGGAGAGTTGATGTATATACCGTGAGGCCGTGAGGTAAAGTATATCCAGGAACGAAAGATTGGACGGTAAGCATTGCATGTGCATTCTTCAAACATCTAGATTAAGCTGTCTCTCATACTAGTAGGTCCTAGGTCAGATCAAACCTAGCACCTATATACAGAAATGAGCTACAACAAGATATTTTTACTCATGCAATTTTGTCTACAGTGAACAGCTACAGCAGGTTTGTTACTGAGGCATGGGCGGAATTGGTATTCCATCATGTTCATGTTCTCGGTGACCACAATCCCACCTTGGCCGCTCGTGTCGAAGCAAAATCGCAGTACCTCCCAGTAGCCCATCAGAGGAAATCCAGCATGTCTTAACCATTCCCCAGAGTGAGCCCGACCAGCACGAAATGCCAAAGGTCGACAAAATCACCACGACCACCTCGACTCCGATTGATCAAAGCTTTCTTTTCGGCCAAGGCAGTCCAAGATCTGTCCAACTGCGGAAAAAACTGCACATCCTGTCACGTTGTGAGCAAGAAAGGCCGTTTCAAGGGCTGTGCACAGTGTACAGTGTGGAGACTCGCATCGAGACCCACGTTACGCCGCTCATGCTACGTTCATGCTACGCTCGTTCTACGCCACTCGCCCCAGTTGACCTCAGGAAGTTGATGAAGTCGATCGTGAGTCACCCGAAACGTCTGATCAATTCCGTAGCTGCCCTCTGACAAAGCCAGCACACCTATGAAGCTCCCCCCACTAGTCCTGCTGTGCTAGACTGAATTTTGCTACGCGAAGGTATATACCCTGCCAATTGTAATGAATCATTGCAGTTTCCACAAGGGATTCAAGCGGCAAAGCCACTGAGAATCAATCCAGACCGTTCTGCAGCAACAATCCGAGAAAGTTTTAAAGGCGCCAAAGCACATTATTCCAGAGCTTTGATGTGAACGTGTCACTGACCTCTGCCTCCTGAGTGCACCAACGGCAAGCGTCTTCAGTACTGCTTCAGCTTGACACAAAATTCTGCTGAGTGGCCACCGCCAAAGAAAGCAGCCCACCTACATTCATTCTCTTTGACGGATGGTACATGGGACACGGGAAGTGGGGCATAAAAAAGGTTTCCAATTGAAAACTGTTCTGAGGCCAATCAGGGCAATATAGATATGAGATGTGTATGAGCAGTATATGAGCAAAGGATATTATGCCTGGCTTGGGTGTATTCATCGCATGTCCGTATTGCATGTAAAAACTGACATGTGTCCAGAAGTTCGTCATCCCCAAATCAAACTTGCATCTGAGTCGTGCAGCCAAGGTACATGCGTCGTAGCTGCCATCCTGGTCTTCTCAGTCTGTCGAGGAGGTCACCTGGACACACAGATGAAGAACGGGACGAGATAATTCCAAGTATACACCAAAATCCCTGTGAATGAAAAGTACCTCTGAATGGTAAAGGTGATGCTTGAGTGAAACTGAAATCATCGGCAAATGCACAAATGAAGTGTCACCCAGCCTGCGCTGTCGATCGCTGGCCTGGCCTCCACTGTGATCTGCAAATCCTCGGCATCACCTGACTTCTTGCCGTGCTCTTCATCCAGAGAAAAAAAAAACTCAAGAACTCATGTAACATGAAAATCTAAATAAAGTAGTTGACACTGGTTCCTTGGAGTCCGCTAGAAGACATTCTCAAGTTGACCATTGGTGTGCATGGTTTGGGATCTTTTCATGACAAACGGGTGTTGCAAATCAACTTCTCTGGTCAGCTCGAAATCGTAACGAATCTCCAAGCACAACGCTGAACCAGAATGAAAGAATCCAGTTCGTTCATTAAAGGCTACATATTCATCTGGCTCTTTTGGTACCTGCCTCTAGCTTATTCAAAAGCACATCAAACCATTCTTGTGCTTTGCCGTTTAGCCTGCTTTTGAGTCATCATAGTAGTCGATCACATAGCGCACCGTACGTTCTCCACAGCGGTCCTGATTGCCGATCACCGATCGTCAAGAGATGACAAGTGTGACCACACCCTAGTTTATCTGTCCGCAATGGCCTGTATTAGGTAACATGGGGCTTTAAAGTGACTCAGCAGGTGTCTTGATGAAAAAGCACTCAAAACTAGTCATGATACACACTTGAGGGCACAAACCTGCCAAGTCTCCACAAACCAGTCGTGCCGGTCAAAGGGCACACCTCTGTAGGAGAGCGTCTTGGACCACCAGCCACCCCAGCTGAGATCTTTTTGCCGCCCCACGAAGCGAAGCAAGCTGGGAGTCCTCATGCAGGTTCCATGCCGACTGGCCAAAGGTGTGGGACATCACCAGGTGGTGAAGAGGTGAACCCTGAACCACTGGCAGTCATCAACTCCTGTAAGACGTCCTGTTTCTTTGACGTCCGATCCTTTTTTTCTGCGACCTGTTGGGCCAACAAGAGTCGGGAAAGGCTGAGGGCCAGTCTTGGTGTCAAAAACCGATTGCCCACTCTTGATGTCGGCCCGTTCGTTTTTCTAGTCTCACTTGGAGGCCAATTTATTTGTGGCCGGGCGGTCCCAAAAACCAACGGAAAAAACGCGCAAACAGTCTTTCGCCCGGCGGCGGGCAAGACTTGGCGTGAAGCTTCTCCCAGTCCAAGATCGCTTTCCAAGACCGCTCGTTGGTCACGTTGTGGGCGTAAACCACGTCATCCATGGCCTGGTGATCTGACAAAACAGACCTTGTGAACACTCAAACAGACCCTTGGGGCCTCCAATGCGCAAAGCCGAGCAGTTTTTTGGGGGGGCTGACACCCTCTCCTGCCCAATTGATGTTACTTGAGACCCACCTCAGCCTCTGCCTCTTTGTTCTTTCGAAGGAGGGCATGATAGAACCTCAGTTTGATCCGGTCGGATGTACGCATGCAGCCGCAGCCAGCTATAGGAGATGCCGCCACCAAACTTAGAGACTCCGCCAGGCAGCTGCTGAGGTGAAGGATACACCCAGTTGCCAGACTCCCCGGTCTTTGGGATCGAAGATACTTCGCCTCAGCGCAGGGATCGAAGTCGCCAGGTGCAGGATCGAAGTCTTCACCAGCGACGTTTGGCCACCGGTGCTCCACGGTTTTGGAAAAAAAAAAACATCTCCGACATCTCCCCCGCGCTCTTGGGTAGAGAAGAACTGGGGCAATGGGTTTTCGTGCAACGAGTCAGGCCTCTTTTTACTTGAACAAAGACTGCTCGACTCCGTCACACGATACGATGGCCGATGGCCTTCGCACATTGAAAAGCCAAGAAACGGTCTTTCTTTAAGTCAATGCTTTGAGACGCCGCAGGTGTCTGTGGCATCTCAGGCATCATATTGCGAGGGTTTAACACCTCAGGGTGGTGTCCAGGTCTGAAAGGTGCACGCAAAGACATCAGAAATCATCTAAACTTTCGCGCACCTCACCATTTTCAGACCGCAGGGGACCTGAGGAGTAGCAATGTTCAAGACAAATGTGGATGTGCATGGGATGGACAAATTCCATCGCACTGCAAAAAAGAACCCATTCTGAGACAGCTGTATTTAAAAAGAATCACAGACGAACACCACGAAAAGTGTCAAAAAGACCCAACTCTGGTGCTAGGCCCGCACCGATGAAACGAAAAGACCTGGGTCACCCCACGGCTCTCTGTCTTGTTCCCGCGCAGTGGGCATCCCGAGCTCGCCATGGCTTTTCTAGAAAAGTCACTGGTGTTGCTGCGGTTTCTTCAGGTGAACGTGTCTGAATAAGTGAAAATGCACGATTCAAACGAACAAATCTGAATGGCCCCACGACTAGTCCGGACTTTCCTGATTGAATTCGGCGGCTCAGCAAACCAAGTAAAACAAGACTGAACGGCACCTGATCTTCGTGTTTGGACCCTGCCGTTCACAGCTGAGAATTTGTCAGTCGTTCAATCTTGGATTTGGAGTTGCACAAGTATTCTGAGACTGAGACTTTATGCAGCTCGGGAAGAAGCCAAAAGGGGCGTTGGAACGGTGAAAAACCAAGCTGTTCACTCGATGTTCACTACAGTAAAACCTGGTTCAAACTCGCACCCAACTGTCTGCACTGTCGAGACTTGAGCTAATCTTTGCTTCTCCGCCTGAACGAACTCCTGCATCTGAGGACCCCAACGACTGGTAACGCCAAATGCAATCACGGCGACCTCAACATACCCAAGCAAAGCCAAAGAAGACAGCCGACCGAACGTCTTCAGTTCTAGCAGGCTGAGTTGCAAACTGTTGCTGCACACAGCACCAAAAGCACCACTGGCGATCTCAGAGCAGCTCCAACCACACACAAGCTTCACGACCCAACTGCACGTTGACTGGTTTGTAGTTTGTACATGTTCGTACCGTGTGCCTGCATGTAACGACTGTTTTGCCCGGCTCCAAAACATGTCCGCCGACCCCGGCCTATAGCCAAAGCCTAGGCGGGGAGGCGCCTGGGACACCGCAGGGTGAAGCAGTTGGCCAAGCCTAGCAGAGCCCTTCCAAGCACTTCCAAAGGCCTGTCCGAGGCCTCGCCAGCTGGCAGGCCTGCTGCGGCCTCTCTGTGGCCTGTCCAAGGCCTGCCTCCTCTCTCGGCAGCTGGCAGGCCTGTTGCGGCCTCTCTGTGGCCTGTCCGAAGCCTGCCTCCTCTCTTCTTATGGGCTTCCGAAGGCGACGTTAGGCATTTTGGACCGCCTTCAAACGCTCCTCGGCAGCTGGCAGGCCTGTTGCGGCCTCTCTGTGGCCTGTCCGAAGCCTGCCTCCTCTCTTCTTATGGGCTTCCCAAGGCGACGTGAGGCATTTTGGACCGCCGCAGCACAAGCCTTGCTGGCTCAGCACCTGGGCTGTCCAACAAGGCCCCCGCAAACAGCCGCCAGTCTATTAGCACAGCCAGAACAGAGGCATTGCTACTATGCTTCTTGCTGCCTGTTGCTAGTGGTTTTTCTGATCTTGTGATGCTTCTGGGTCTTCTTCTTAGTGCTGCTGTGATTGCTGTTGTTGGTGTATACCTTTGTGGGCTTTAGCGCAGGCCACAGCTAGCCTGTCCGAGGCCACGCAGCCTTGGCATGGCCTGAACTGCCACATACGATGCTAACCGCCGAGGCCACCCTCTTCTTTTCTAGGCTTCCGAAGCGACGGCCCCCCTCAAACGTTTCTCGGCGCCTCGCAGGGTGCAACCTTGGCATTGGCATCTCCACCTTTGTGGGCTTTAGTACAGGCCACAGCAGGCCACGCAGCCTTGGCATGGCCTGGGCTGCCACGTACGGTGCTAGCAGCCGAGGCCAGCCTCTTCTTTTCTAGGCTTCCGAAGGCGACGGCCCCCCTCAGACGCTTCTCGGCGCCTCGCAGAGTGCAACCTTATTGGCATTGGCATCTCCACCTTTGTGGGCTTTAGCACAGGCCACAGTTAGCCTGTCCGAGGCCACGCCTAAGGCTAGAACACCCATCTTCTTTCCGCAGACGGGCAACCACCGGAACGACACTAACGCCTTCAGTTACACATGCTACACTCCTCTTGAAAAGGGGTCGGCGGCACCCGGGCGAAGCCCTTACAGTCCGGGCGCCGGCCAGGACGCCCGTGGCATGCCCGGAGGGCCTTCGGTGGTAACCGAAGGTTATAGACGGGCGCGCCCCCTGCCGCCGACCCTCGTCATCAAAACGGGGGGACCACCGGGTCACTGAAGCCCCTGTAATTTACAGTGTATCGTGTGTGTGAGGTATAAAAACACTGTGTTTTACAGGGTTTCGGGCCCCTCGGCAGCCGAGAATTTCAGCTCGGTGATGTCGAAAAAGGCAGGTTTTTACAGTGTTTTTGCTTTGCGGGAAGGAAAAAATCGTAAAACGTTGTATCGGAACCCAAGATCAACATAAATCGCCTAACATACCCCCAACATAGGCCCAAAATAGCCAACATATCCCCAACATATGCCCAACATAGCCTCCAAGATGGCTCAACATAGGGCCAACATAGGCCAACTTGGGGCCAACAGACGCCAACATAGGCCCAACATAGGCCCAACCCAGGCCAACATAGGCCAACATAGGCCTAACATAGGCCAACATAGGCCCAACATAGGCTCAACATGGGCCCACGATGTGCCCAACATACACCACATGGGCCCCACTTGGCCCAACCTAGGGCCAAGATGCGCACCAGATAGCTTAACTTTGCTCAATATAGGCCCCACCAAGGCCAACATAGGCGTGACATACGCCCCACACACCCAAGTGGGCCGGCGCCCGGCTGTTAGGCGTAAGCCTTGAAATAAGCTACTACAGCTTTTGTGTACTGAGTTCCCGAGCGTAGGGATCCAACTGAACTCCTGGGCTGGCAAAGGTGCTCGGCCGAAGGGATGTCGGCCAGGCTCCGCCAGCTGCGCTGCGGACGGCGGGCGAATTTCGATCGAAGGTAGTTCCGGCCACATAGCGATGGCCTCCCACCTCATTGGAATGGCCTCCAACCCAATAGCGATTGTAGTTCCGGCCAAATCATGAGGAAGTCGTCTGTTGAGGACAAACTTCCTTTGTGTTTAAGTAGTGATATGCATGTCACTCTTCCTGCGATAAATCTCAACGGGAACTAAGATGGGGGATTGGGCCACTTCGGCGTTAAATGCCGACCCTAACCCTAACCTTTTCACACATAGCCATACGCCCTTCCATCTGTCAACCTCCAAAGGATGTTCTCAACACCTCCATGACTCGTTATTTCACCGGTCAATCTCAAGGGATTTGTGAGTAGAGCCACCGACACAAACCAAGAAGACATGCGTTTAGTGGAGAACTGTGAGGCTCTTGATTTGTGATGTGGAAGTGTCGAAAAAGAAAAAAGAAGGGCATACACTCAAATGACTGGTCTATTCCCAGGGAATGCGCATGTTCATTCAGGTCCTTGTTGACCGGAACCGGGGCATTCCCCACTCTCTCATCGGTTGGCTGGAGTGGTTATACAATTGATCACCCCCACGGATCTTCGCAGAATAACAAATGGAACATCTTCATATTCTAAGCGCCGTCCACTATCTTCCAGGAGTATCGCACCAAAACCGCGACTGCTTGCACATGGCACAATCACAAAGCATTGTGCTGCCTGTATACACGAAGCGTCTTGAAACATCTTCCAAATTCCAAATGAATCAATTCCAAAACAATTCCAATGAAGCCCTGACGATTGACTGTCTGTCTGTCTGAACAAAGTGTGGATGTTTTGCAGGGAAACCGAAACCGTTCGGTCTCCTGGGTGTTTTGTCCCTGGTCCCTTGCCAGTCCTTCTTTGAATCGGCTTCAAACAACCTTCTGCAGCCCAGACTCGCACTCTAGCTGGCAGAGAATGCAGGTACAGGTCATGATGGCCTGAGTTCAAAAACCGGTGCCCTCGTCACTGCAACGAAGTGTACTAACATTTCAAGTTAAAGCGGAGGTACTAAGACGACGCCAAAGGCCAGGACGATCAAAGGACTGGCATTGCTGACTCATGGCGCTTCTTTCATAAGCAAACCACATCGGATACTGCACTTCCTGTTTTCAGCCCGGGGGTTAAGCCGAGAAGAGGTAACCAGGTAGCTAGCTTGTAGAAGCAGTAGCTTAAGTAGCTACTAGTATAGACGCATGATTGATCACGCTCGCACTAATGATTTGGTTCCTAGATTTTTAGGGAAACTTAGATGCAACAGAGGTGATGCACACATTGTTGAAGTTGGCCAAAACTATAGCCTTATAGCCATTCGGGTGAGGAGTTGTAGGAGGGCATCACTGACGCTTGAGCAGCATCCATTAACTTTGCCCTTGCTTGATCTTGAGGATCCTTTAATGGATTTCATAATCTTAGTATCAGAACAATATCAGTAATTAGCAGCAAAGAAAACTTCAAATGCTAGATGTCTCATAATCTGACAATCGGAAGTGCTGTTCCTTGCAAACAGAATTAGACGGGTCAGGGGTCAAAAAAAACAATATAAGCAAAAAAATATTCAACGGGGATCAATTAAAAAAGTAAAAAGGGAGTCAAAAAAAATATTCTAGCCCACTGAGGATGGTTGGGCTAGTAGTAGTAGCAGTGGCAGTAGCAGTAGCAGGATTAGGAGACCAAGGGAAGAGGATGGAAGGAGTAGGTGACTAGGAGAGTGTACCTCCCTAGGAGCTCCTTCCTAGTAGGGAGCTATTTCTACTGGTGAACCATTTTTCGAGTAGGGCTACTCAATGACTGGACGGCTACCATCATTGGGTACCTACTTTCCTCCCAGGGAGCTGCCTCTAGTAGAAAGCAATCAAGCCTTTATTTGCGCAAGCAGGGGACCAGGAGACCGAAAGACGAGCGGAGTAGGAGAGCAAGAGACCAGCGGACCAGGAGACAGAAGGACCAGGATACCAGAGGGGACCAGCGGACCACAGGACCAGAGGACCAGGAGACCGGAGGACTGGGGGACCAGTGGCTTCTTAGTGGCCAACGAAAAAAATTTCGCAAGTAGGTCCTATTCCGGTGCGTCGGACCAAAGGACCAAGGGACCAGGGGACCAAAGGACCAGTGGACCAGAGGACCAAAGGACCAGTGGACCAGAGGACCAAAGGACCAAGGGACCTTATTACCAGAGACCACAGGGCCAGGAGAGCAGCAGAAGAGGCCTATCAAGGAATATGTGTTTTTTTATTCGCTTTTTGTTTTTATGTTGATCCTCTTTTTATTGTTTGTTTGATACCTATGCCGAATTAGACCCGCATCTTTCCAAAGTTGGACGA